GATCGAGTTAGGTCATATAATTGATTTGCGTAATTTTCTTATTTATGATGCAATTTTATGACAAATTTTCTGCTATTTATATCATAATATTTTTGTATTCGACGCTTTATAAAATTAATAAACAGATTAATTATAATTGTTATGTATATTCTCTATTGAGAAAGCCTATTCCGTATCCATTATAGTTCTGTTGTTATGATTAGCTGCCATTAAGCCCGTAATACCCCAGTAATGTAGGCATAAGTGTTGGGCCAATAATAGTTCAGTTGTTGTTGCCACTCAGAGCACTCGACATGGGAAAAATATCCCTCCAACGGCTAGTATTTAAAGTTTTCTTTGTTTCCAGTGCGTTACTAATTTATGTCATCTGTCGAATTTGCATTTTTGGACATTTTACGTTCAATTGGAAAACTCGAAGACTGGAATTCTACCGCCCGAACATTTTGTGGCGTTTACCCATCAATTTTATTAAGTTATTCGTATTCTTCATGGATAATGTGCTCAACAATCCAGTAGTGTGGTGTGTGATGACAAATCTTGTATTGTTCAAAGACGATATTTTTGGCATTATACTGTGGATCAGTGATGTCCTTCACTGCTACAATGCCTATCAGATACACCGGATGTTCCTGTCTAATGAATTCTCCCACCACATTATAGGGATTGTAAACGAAGTGCTTGACATTCTGAGAGATTTGTCGGAGACTTTGGGACGTTTGATAGACTACAGGATCGATACGTACATATTGCTCACATTCATGACCAAAATATGTCTGACCTGGTACAATTTTCGTAACCTAATAATGGAGTTTTTTACAATTATTCGAAATCCGTCACTCCTTATAGGGCCTTTGACCATGGAACTTCTTTACTTCAGCTACTTAATCTATCAACTGCTGCTTATAACCTGGATTAGAATGGTCAACACATACTTTACGGAGTATACAGAGCTTTCGGAACACAAGCGGAGAAGTGGACGAAATGTCAAGCGATTGGTACAGATCCTGACATTTCCAACGCGTTGGAAAGCTCTGCACGACCAAATTGTACCCATTTGGCTGAGGGCCTCTAATTTGCTATATTTTGGAATATTTGTTGCTGTTATGGAAGGAAGTTACATGTTCCTGTGCATAATTTATACGAAAGTCCCCATCTATTATAAGTTTGAGCTTATAATGCAAAAGCAAATCGGCATTGTGTGTGAGCCCGTGGTGAATATGTATCTGATTGGCATTATTAACGACCATATAAATCGGCAGAAGAAATCTCTGAAAGCTAGAGCCTTTGTCATTCTCTCGCAGTATCTACATTTCGATCCACTCCTGCGTGACACCAAATTGAAGCTTATCTCTCAGGACGTAAGTTTCCACTCTTACTCATACATATATATATATCTCAAATAGTAATATCAAGTATATTTTAACAGCTTGAATTTCTCATCCTCATGTTGCCCCAACTCTCCCTATCCAGCTTTATATTCAATGCTGATGTGATTTGTACGCGAGAGTTCGCTTTGGATTATTTTGTTTTGACATTCGGGAACTTATTGTCGATGCTTCAATTCACGTACGACACTCTATTTAGTGTTAAGAATAAGCAATGGTGTTGCACCTATTTAAGCGACCTTAGACAATTTGTCTATAAGAATGCTAATGATTCCGATATTTTGGAGGTAATGTTCTATTATACGGGATCGACACCCCCTCCACCCGACCTACTTACTTAACCCCAAAATACTTAAAACTTATGTTTGAAAAAGCTAACGAAACTTGAATAAACTCAAAGTCTAATCTACACCTCACATTATTGTGCAAGTTTTTGCGAGTATTTTGAGAGTTTTAGGTGATTTTTGCACAGGTATTATCTACGATATTTATATATTTTATTTATATTTATATGGATTATGATTAAGCTTCTATTACGATGTATTATTTCGCCAGTTATGTTAAACATAAGAACTCATAACATACCTTGAATTGAATTATATACACCTAATTCTGTTTTTACACGGTAGATTGGTTCCAGAAAAAGTCGTGTAAAAAAATATATGTATATGTATATCATATGTTGTTTTGAATATATAACATTTAAAATTTTCAAACCGTTTTAAATCAGAGCCGTCTAAAAAAAAAGAGACGGATATTGATTAACACAGTTTGAAAATTAAAAATTTCATATACATATATTTAGAGCTAAGTAACCAATCATGTCTTCTTTACACGGTTGTTTCTGGAACCAATCTACTGTGTAAAAACAGAATTAAGTTTATTCTGATTATGCGTTTAAGTAACTTTTGAAAAACCTTCAAAACTGCACCCACATTATTTTTAAAATTTAAAAATTTCGCATTAGCGGAAACAGAAACAGGGCTATTATTAATATTTGATTCCCAATAGAATGCACAGTTTTTTTCTTTGTGACACACAGCAGACATCAGACAATTGAGCAGCAACTAACGTGTAATTGCCGACCGAAGAAGAAGCATAGGAAAATGTTCGGTCAATGTACCGCTAGATGCGACCATAAACAGACTGGGATACAAAAATTGAGTTCCTAACTGGAAATGCAATGGAATAGCGCAACAATAAACCAATTGGCAAGATTGTTGCGCAGGTCGAGCCGAGACTCTTGCATCTCTGGTAGTGCGCCAAATGATTACGTGAAAGGTGAAAGTTGTAAGCGCGCCCGAGAACCGCAAAATACGAGTATATGCGAAGAAAAAAATCGAAAAAAAAAACACAGAAAAATAATAAGGCAAGGAAGCGGCAGGTCGGGTACTGGACGCTGATACCGACAAACGGTGAGAAATAAATTGAATGTATGTAAGTATGTCCGTCTGTCTGTCCAATATCTGGCTGACTGAACCTGAACCCACCTGTCGCCAAGTTGAGCGCGTGTGAGCGGGACCGGCGCGTATCTGATGGTTTGGCTTTGGCACGTCGTCAATTCAGCACATTTCCGTATGCGAATGTGGACCAGTGGCACAGTAGTCTCAGTCTCAGTCCCAGTCACAGTTGTAGCTCCAATGGAGGTTTGCGTGCTTGAAACCACCTTCTGACTATTTATGGCGTTGCTGCGGTCGCGCATGCGCCGATTGTGGACTGCATTGGCTCGCTCTTCTTCGACGCATCGACTTGCTGACTGGCTCTGTGTGATGGTGGTCCAGCAGTGATGCGCACAAAATCACAGCTTGTGATTCAATCAGTGTGGCTGTGATGTCCCCGAAATCGCAGTTTGTTATTCAACCAGTGTGGCTGTTAGTAGCAGTGATGTAAATATGCATCGATACATCGCGATGTATCGATTTTTACGTAAGCGATTGTTTTCGATTTTAACTCGATGTCACTGTCGATGTTTTGATCGATTTTTATAAAAATATCGATGTTACGAACATTCCTAAACAGGGAAATCCCGGCAAATACACAAAATTAATAAAACTGTGATATAGCTTGTAAAAAAGTGCTAAAGAACTGCTAAGAAACCAAACCAAAGCGAGTTATTATTCTCATTTCAATCGTAAATTCAGGGCCTGGCATATCCTTAACGAGCTAGCAGGAATCCCACAATGTTTTTCTCACGCACGAAGACTGATTGAAATTTCAAAGTTATCGTAAAATTTAATAACTGTCCAACCCAGGAAAGATAGCTCCTAGCTTCTTTTTATACCCCCTAACCAAAGGGCATTATAGTTTCGTGCGTATATATGTAATATGCACAGGAAAGTTGACTCCGCCCGTTATTGGCTTTCATCTCTTGCTTTATATTACAAATTTTTATGGAAATTCGACGTATCGATGTTAAGTTTTTCGATACATCGCGATGTTTGTTATGGCGATTTTCGTTTCCGATGTAAAACATCGATGTTCATTTCAGATTTACATCACTATGTAGTAAACATCGATGTATCGAGCATCGACGATGTTTTTAGCACGATGCATCCAAGTTTGCGAAATTCTTTTGCTTGCGATGCATCGTCGATCCATCGATATTTTTCATGTTTTGTTGGACGGGCACAGTTTCTTGTCTGGTCTACCGGAGAAGGTAATATTGTATTTTAATTATTTGTTTTTATTGAAACATGTACACCTAATTCTGTTTTTGCACGGTAGATTGGTTCCTCAAAAAGTCGTGTAAAAAACAGACATTGATCATATGCAAAATAAATCGTACTAAATGAAATAAAGTCGTGTAACCATATATAAAATTTTCAATTTTCAAACCGTGTTAAATCAAAACCGTTTAAAAACAGAATTAGGTGTATTTTATATATTAGATTGTTAAGAATTTGATCATTTTGATTTGTATATGATGCCAGAAATCAATCTGGTCTGGTCTCCAAATCGGTTAAACCTCGGAAAGTTGGTTAGAACATTATCAAAATCCACAGTACCCATGGTAGAAGAATCAAATAAATATAATAAGCTCATGTCCTGAATATTATAAGAGTCATCGAGACGAACGTACGAACAGGTGAGCAGGGTTTATCGATTCGTCTTGTCATGTTGATTAAGAATATATACACTTTATGGGGTGGAAGATGCTTCCTTCTGCCTGCCTACAGGGTATTACATTATATAATTTTTGTAATTAAACTTAAGGAGTGATCCTCCAGCAATAACTTAAATAGTATAGTGGACTGATCGGAGAACATTCCCCACAAAACTGACGTTGAAAGTCGTTTGTCCTTTTGGATCCATAATAGTCAATAGAATTTTTAAATGGCGATCCCTCCGACAATATTTACTTGTATATACTTCTTTATTATTTAAAAAAAATAAAAGTTTCATTTGACAAATCCTTGGTCATTTAAGCGATATGGACATATCGGTGTACTATTTAAAGAACTCATGCATTAGGGAAAGGATTCTAATTGCAGTGACTTTAATACTAATACATATAATATTTTAAAAATAAATGTTTCAAAATTAAAAATCAATTCCAAAACTTAAACGGAAAGTTTAACGAGATTTTAAAAATAACGTTTAAAACTTGTATTAGTATTAGTTGCGCCCGTTCGATTTGTTTTTTCTTTGCGCGTTGGCTGATTTCATTTTGCTTTTGTTACGCTTTAACTTCTTGGATTTGGATGATCCATTTTTTTGGGACTTCTGCGGAACTTCCGTGCTTGCCTTCGCTTTGGTCTGCAAAACTTCCGTGTTTGCCGCTGCCTTGCTGTGCTGAATCTCCGCTACTTTCCACGACTTGCTCAGTTTCCAGGACTTGGCCAGATCCGTCTCGAACTTGGCGAGCAAAGCCTTTAGCTTGGGTCTGGCGTACCTGCCGGTGTTTCTGATGATCGACGTGAAGTGAAGATAGACCTCATCCACGATCAGCTTGTCATCGAAGTGCTGTTCGTTGTCGATGAGCAGCTTTATTGAGACCTCACTATATCTGAGCAGACTAAGGCAGTAGGAAATGTTGCACCATTGGTTCTCTTCACTCGAGAACGAGAAACGCAGACACAATGTCTCCACCAGTAGCTCGATGTCGACATGGTTATCGATGAGGCCGATCATGAAACGCAGAATAGTCCGAAAGTTTTCCCGCTCCATATACAGGTTGGCGTCGCACAACTTGATAATAATGTCTGGCAGTAAATTGTACAAAATATCTGTCTTGGTGGCAATCTCATTGAAGAATCGCACTGTTCTATTTTTGATCTGCTCGTCCTCATGGGCGATGCATAATGCCAAATCGGCAATCTGACAATTCTCGAGAACCAACGCGCTTACAACGTGATGCGTCGCCTCAGTCAACCTGAGACTGTTAAAATGTTTCGAGACGCTATCGTAATAATAATATAAATATATGTAAGGCGTCCAGCGTTCGGTAAGGGCCGAAAAACGGAATGTAAGACTCTGATTAGGGAGCCAGGGCGTATAAATCCTGATAATAATGTTCTTGGACATTAGCAGCAGGTTGTTGAGAAAGCATACGTTCGCCACGCAGTATATCGACGAGAGCGACATTAGACGTGCGAGGGCCTTCAATGCCGCCTTCTCCAATTTCTGATTCCTTTGCTCGGGGCGACGCTTGGTTAGCTCCTGCATAATAGGTTGAATTTTGGACATAAGCGTACTGTGCTCGGTCAGAATGACACTCTCACATATGGCCAAAATTTCTGCAGCGATGTTATTATCAATTCGCTTTTTGCGCTTTGAGGTTACAAACACAGGTTTCTTTTTTTGGGTATCCTCTGGCTCCTCCAGCTCGAGAAAGATCAGCTCCTTGGTGGCCATATAGCCCACGCAGAACATGAAACGAGAGAGCTGATAAATGGACGCCTCCGGGTCCTCCAGGGATTGCTCCAACCAGCTCTCATTGATGCAATTGATCACCTCCAGAAATACCTGCGCCGCCAATGATTCTGATTTTATACATACCAGTTTGTAAAACTCTATCACACCCACTGCAAGATAGTCGAAATCCCGCATCTCTTGATACGAAAAGTTGCTCAGAAAAGAGGTGGTTATGTACTCCACAAACTTATCTTGGACTGTGTAGGATTTCTGAAGTTTTCCATTAGTACAATCGCTGCCCATTACGAGCAGCTGGATGCATTGGTAGATCAAGAACGGATCTTCAAGCGTACGCTCTTTGATCGCTATGTTCTCAATAAAGCCCCGATTATATGTGGCAATGCGACGTTCGGCCCTCGAGGCCATAATGATCAGTTGCAACGCCAAACGTGATTCGTTGGGCGTCGTACCCTTGATTAGCAATGCCCATCGCTCGAAGAGGATTTGCACAATGTACGCATCAATGGACCCAGTGCGTATCCACTCTGCCATAAGCAATTCCATGGTTCTGTAGTGTCCGAATTCCACTTCCGCTAACAATTTGCACAAGATCCGCACCACTTTAATGGCACGTTCTCGCCCAGCTGGCTCTGAATTGAAGAACACCCTCCGATAGGCGTGACAAATGACACGGCGCTTCAATTCGCTGGAAGACCCGACCAAGGGCAATAAGCTCGTCATTGCCAACTCAAGACCGCGCATCCCGTAATTATAGCCGCTGCTGAATAGATCCAATTCCTCGTAGATGTCCTCCTTGTCCTCAGCTGCCAACGTTTGGAGCAATTTTGGCATCGCGTTGGAGACCACAAACTTGAAGTCGATGCTTTCTATGAGGAACTGAATGATGTTCAGTTGCTTTGGCTCTGGTTTGGGCTAAAAGATCAGACAGCTAGCAATAGTCGAACAAAACAATATCAAACTTAACTCTACTTACAACATTACCGCAGGTACGAGTGAGATGAATTAAGTTTTTAAAGAGTATGAGAATGTAAAGGTATTGGTCTTCGAGTTTTAATAGTTTACTAAAAACAGAAAGAGAATTAAAGTTATAAGTTAAAGGAGTTTCCAAATTTTAAATACCATCTAAATGACAAATTAGACAATCAAAACTGTTTAATCAATCAATTAATGATTGCACAAACGTTGGACACTATCTAAACGTTTATAATCGAATAACTCGATCGTTTTTGGAAATCACATTCCACTGTGGATTCCGCCTTAGTTGTTTGAATTCAGAAAGTCTGATTTCCTATAAATACAGTTGCACATTTAATTTCCAGGACCTAAAAATATTGCATATCCCAGACTAATTATCTGTTAATACCAACACGTTTCGTGTTGCATAAATCGCATAAAATGTTGTCTCTAGTCTTGGCAGTTTTTTCGAAATTAAATTTCTTTTCGTGTTTTGTCACGACCACTCACGAATTCAGATTATAAAACAAAAACACGGGCCATGCCCACCTATTCTACAAACCTAATTACACCCTAATGGAGAGTAGTTCGTTCTGGTATCTAGTATACTTACTGGAATAATTCCCAGGAACAGAGAGACGGACAAATTCTACATAGGCAATTACTTTTCACAGCCAATAACAAATACATAACAGACTCAGATGTACATACCTGATAATCTCGGCAGAAACTACAAAGTCAACTCTGGGCAGCACGAATTTTGGATCAACACAGGTATTGCTCACCTGCTTGAGCAGCACCTTTTGCACCAAAGTTTCGTACTTATCCTCGTTGACGTGCTTCAAGTTAGACACTACAAATAAATGATTATTACATGGTATTAAACATTATTTTCCACTTGCCACTCACATTTCTGTATTCGATCCCGAATAGTGGACTTCAGATTCGACAATTTAAGCTCAGAATCGGTGAAAACTTCACTGAACTCGCCACTAAAGATCTGCTCGTACTTGTTGCGATACCCGAGACTTTGGAGCAGTTCATCGCTCAACTGTGAGAAGTACATTATCATTAGACCGGGAGAATTTCCGACCAATTCTGTTATGAAAGCGGCATAGTTATGCATGATTGCCGAATGAGCTGATTCCCGCGATTTGGTCTGCATAATGTGATCCATAAGTGTGGTCACAACGGGGGAGAGATCGTAGTCCTCATGAATCAGTTGCATTCCTTTGGCCACTACGATTGAAGTGGACCTGTTGGTGCGTAGGATTGGCAGAATGCGTGCGCAAAAGATCAAGGCATGGTTGAATTTTCTGATAGCAGCGCCAAGTATTTTAAATATTGAGTCGAAAATATGGAGATTTTGAGTGCTCGCAGGGTTAACCTCCAGCGTGCAATAGCAGATGTCACAGATCATGCTGCAATCAATAAATCATTTATAATAATGTAATATAAATAATAATTACACAACTTACTTAACAAAATTCGCATCGACTACGGACGGAGTCCAGAGCTTCTCCAGTGGATACTTTATGATAATGTAGAGCTGCAGAAAGAATTTGCTTAGTCTTGGAATCCAATCGGGATTCTGCTTTAGCATCACATTAAAATTACTAGTTTTATCCACACTTAACGCATTGATGCGCTTCACCGCATTGATCAGCAGATATAGCGACATTTTGGTTAGATTCCAGTAACGCGTGCGGTTCGGCACCGACAACGGCTGAGCATTTGGGGCCAGCAACGGCGCCAGTTGAGCCGTCAATTTATTTACCGTTAGGTACAGCAAATCAAACGAGCGCATGAGGTTCTGTACGGTGACGGCATCAGCATCTTTTGACTCAATCACCGAGTAGTAGGTGTCGAAATGCTCGAATATGTAGAAAATATCACCCGCGAGCATTTTCTTTCGACATACTGAGAATAGAACAAACTAATTGTACAGGGTGCAAAAAAAAAAAAAAAAGAAGCAAAACCTACCGAGAAGACGCTCCGGAATTTCATTTTGCTTATAAAGCTTTCGCACGCAATATTGTTTGCCGCGTGCTTTCAATAAATCTGCCGACCGGTACGGTATAAAAAATTTACACACCCGATTGTCCGCCATTTTGCAACCTCAAGAAGGAGTTTTTCAGCGTGCTTTGCTAAACCGTAAAAGCAATTTGCTTATGAGTAACTAATTCGACAAAATCCCAAATTCTATTTTGCACCACTTAGCAGTGAGTACTAGACGATATGGTACTATTGCCGATAGCAGCGCGTTTGCCGTTGCATCCGGAACTAGTTCATTTACATTAATGATAAACCGCATGTGGGGCTATCTGCACTGTGGGAAATTTTAAATTTTTAGTTTCTACAGTTTTTACTCAAATTATGGTAAAAGGTAAGTGTACTTATTATCGGTTTATTTCGATTATTTTTATTAAGTTGATCAAATAAATAGAATCAATCTTTTTAGGAATCCGCCAAATTACTGATCAACTTAAAAAAACATCAATAGCGGCATTCTGGCAACTGTTGTTGCTTATATACAAATGTTTATTCAAAACGTCTCAAATGTGGAATCGTTCGATATATTCCTTTTAACTTGTTTACAATCTTGCAGGACCATAACATTATATCAAAACATCAGTTTTAATTGTGTGGGGACATGTAACGCCTGAGCAATGCCACCGTATTTTTAAAACCATATGAGAGCTTTTGAATACAAAGAGTACTACGTAGCTGCCTTTTTAGGTATCAAACAAGCAGCTGTACTCTAAAAATTCCAAAAATTAGATTATGTCTTAGCCATGACCAGTTCCACGTCCATGAAGAAGATTAATCCTTAATTCTGTATTTTATTAGTGGAGTTCTTCTAGGGAGCATACTGGGCTCCGTTTTATATCAAAATTTTTCAAGTTATTATTGCCGATACATCATTTTTATTGCAACAAGTATAACCATAAATATCGATAAATAATTTAAAAAATGGAGGATATAAGTTTACACACAGAAGTCTGCACTGATAACGTTTTTATTAAGACGGAGAAATTGTTACTCCGTATCCTTAAATGGCTCTATTATATCAGTATGTGGGTTGTGAATGCTTAATTGGAACATTCATAAAAAAGAGAAACGGAAGCAGCTCCAATTAAAAACTAAAATGATATATGTATGTATTGGGTTTTAGGTTCACGTTCAAAACTCAATCTCGAGAACCAAATGCGGGGTTTGACAAAGTAGTGGGGAACAGAGATCATCCAAAAATAGCAATCTATGAATCTCGGAAATATTGCAGGTGCTATTTGGATTGTTACCTACTTTGATATTCACAGAAACTTAATTGTACTCTTTTTTAGAGAAGTTAGAACAGCTTTTTGAAGATATATGTATGTATACTTAAATAGATTATCTGGATATGAACATTTGCTGGCAATGAATTCACTAGATCTCTTACTTTTGAACCACTCGCACAGATTTAAATAATCTAATATTTTTGCAAATTCTTATCTGATTTTAAACAATCTACCCTTCCAGAAACAACCGTGTAAAAAAAGACACTGATTGGTAAATCACCATCACGGTTTTGAGTGTGATTTCAAAATCGCTGTTTTCCTCAACCCATCGCCGTGGCTTAAAGCGACAGGTTGGCTGCAGGTTTCGGTGGCGGTTCGTGGTGTGGTCGAGTGGCGGAATGGTGGAGTGGTGCAGTGGTTGAAGGAGAAGAGTGTATTTTTTTTTAGAGAAGAAGTTAGCACAGCTTTTCGAAGATAGTACATACTTAAATAGACTATATGGACATGAACATTCACTGGCAATAAATTCACTAGATCTCTAACTTTTGAACCACTCGCACAGATTTAAATAATCTAATATTTTTGCAAATTCCAATGTACATATGTACAATACATGTATATGTTATAATAATAAAAAATATTCCTCTTACGATCGCTTCAAGAAGCGGACTGCTTTAAGTTTGAAACTAATTCGTAAATCATCATCACGGTTTTGAGTGTGATTTCAAAATCGCTGCTTTCCTCAACCCATCGCCGTGGCTTAAAGCGGCAGGTTGGCTGCAGGTTTCGGTGGCGGTTCGTGGTGTGGTCGAGTGGCGGAATGGTGGAGTGGTGCAGTGGTTGAAGGAGAAGAGCGCGCGCGCGCGTGCATTACCATTACCGCATTGCAAACCTGATTCTTGCCTTCTTTCTTGGCTGGCAGTATTTATCTGTTGGCTGTCCCGCTTGCCAATTTTGTGCCTGTTCACATTTTGCGAGCCGTTTTTGGCATAACGATTCCGGATACTGTCTCTCTCCCCCTTTTTCTCTCTCTCTCTCTTTTTCTCCTGCAATGTGATCGACTTTGTTGTTGTTGTGACTGTGGTTGTTGCTGTGCCTGTTGTTGTTGTTGCTGTTGGTGGCGTTTGCGGCAGCAACATCGACGGCTTAAATGTATTTGGCTGTGGCAAAATAGATTATGAATGTAAGGCAGTGGGTGTCGGTGTCGGCATCATCGAGGTGCTGGCGGTGCTGGTGGTGATTGTTGTTGTTGCTGCTGCTGCTGCAGTTGTTGTTGTTGTCTGGGTGCCGCATCGTTAGTCGTTGTCTAGGCATCGTCGGTAGCGTGCTGGTAACACTTTTTCTTTGGGCCCCAGCTAAGCTCAACTTGATGTTTGCACTGTTTGTTGCTTTAGGAAGTTATATAATCTGCAAGATATACATGCCTATATTGTTTGTACATACACATACATACTACAAGTATGTATATGCTTTATAAGTGAGTACTGGCAATATATGCCTCAATCAATTTAACAGTTATGAGCCGAGCTGGAAAGTTAATAGCTAATGTGCGGCAGAGGCGGTTGTGGGCGGGGGATTCCGGGCAGAGTTGTTGGGCAAACAGACGAGCATGTAACTGATCCGTTTGACTGCGTCAAGACGTCTTGCCAATATTGTAATAATACGCGTATTTAGTTTGAATGCTTCCTCATTTCAGTTTGGATAATGGATAGCGAACATACATATGTACATAAGTATATTTGCAGGCTAAGCTTACTTGAATGGCAGCTTAAGACTTAAAAACTAGAAGCCATTTATCAGGAGAGCATGAAATAATTGATATGTTTTCAAAAATGATTGTAAGTTCCGAAAACCCAATTCAGCTATCGTAAGCAATAAATGCAGATACTACAGATTATTACTTATTTTTAATAAGCATTTAAATCTTTTTTTAAATTTTTATTTAGGTTAAATATAGTATATTATTCAATAATATACTGAAGGGGTAAGAGTACTAGCTACTGAGGCCTACGACTCTATGGTAATACTATGTACAAAAATTCTTGTATATCTATGAGTCCTAGATTTGATCAATTAAATTACAAAATTGAAGATATTTATATACAGTTTTTATGTTAGTAGCAGGTGTTTCTTTTAGAAGGTGTGATGGCTTCTTAGTTTTTCGAAAAAAAAATTCTCTATTCATTAAAATTTATAATTACGTATAAAGGCAGTTCTTTAAACGTTTGGCTAAATCTCTTATCAAACGGAAAATTCTACCTATTTAACAATTTTCGTTTTGTTGATATACAAATATTCAAAAAGTTTAATATAACGTTCCTGTAAAGATTTGTCAGAAGTTGTTATCCTTTATATCTGCAGGAATCAAAAAGCTCATTAAGAATAATGACGGATAATCAGGGTATTAAGTGCGCTCTAATCTAATCAATAACACACCATAGATAAGAAAATTTAAGTATGCATTATTATTTTAGTTTAACACAGCCATTAATATTTTTGAATTAACTAAATGCTAAGTTTTTTTTATAGTTTGTCAAACCTTTTAGTATTTGTTTTGACGCTGAAGTTTGTTTATGTTGAGAACGAGCTGATTTTTTGATTTTTTTAAATATATATGTAATAAAATATGAAATTAAAATATAAAATAAAATAAAATTAAAATATGGAAATATGAAAATAGATATACATATATATAAAATATATATGTATATACATATTGACATTAAAAAATTGTTCACACCTATTATTTATTTATTTATTTAACCTGTGAAGAATTTGTCTGAAATTGCAAACTACTTACAATAAATGATAAGACATTATAATATAAAATCAAGTAAGAAATTGTAAATAGTTGCGGAAACATTAGTACCTGCATATAAATAAAATCTAATTTAGGTTTAATATTATTTTAATATGATTCGATTTCTTCCCCTTATGCTTTTATAGCTTATAAGACGCATTTTATAATTATGTCGACAGTCAATGTTTGTTGATATGAATAAATAAATAAAAAGTCATGAATTGTTGTTTAAGTTTTTATATTTATCCATTTTGTATAAATAAATAAGCTACCTGTCCTCTTAACATTAAGAATCTTTACCTTTAAATTCATAATGTTTAAAGGTAAGTGAATAAATTGAACTTCAAAAATGTTTGTTTAATAAATGCATTTTTTTCATCTTTACTACTTTTTACTGCCATTTATTATAGCATATATAGGTATATATGTATATAGGAGTTTAGTGTGAACTGTACAAATTGGAATTTACTTCAGATTTCAATCAAGTGTGAATTGTCTTTTATGATACAAAAAAAAAAAAAAAAAAAAAAAAAACACTCAACAGAGCATAGTTTCTTTCACCCAACAAAGATATTCCGAGATGTGAGATAAATGTTACGCAAAGCCTGTGAAATACTTTTTACGATCATTTTACATCAAAGGAGTGGCATGCCTTTGTCACTTCGTCCGCTCGGCAGTAAGTCAAGCATGTGTGTGCACACTCTGCGAGGCTCGAAGGATCACTTCCTTTTGTCGAGCGATTCTTATTACCTTCCCATTCGCACAGAGTTGCAGCCGTTCCAAGTTCCCAGGCTCAGGCTCAGGGCCAGGGCCAGAGCCAGTCCCAGACTCAGATTCAGACTCAGGCTGTTGTACAACCTGCCATTTGGCGTGCCCGTGGCTCCAATGCCAGCACACAGCTGTAATTAATTACACAGCATTTTCTTTTAAGTGCGAGTGCGTAGCTATTTGATGAGGCATAGGCACATGCTCTCCCGCTTCCGTGCTCTGTCATTCAGACTGGCCATCTTTATATCTTAAACATTCTAG